CGAATCCGTTACATAGCTTAAGATGAAGGGGGAATCGTCAAAACTTCACTATATAAAAAAAAGAAACAGCAAAGCTCTGTGTTATCAATCAGACTGTTGTATGCCACAGCTAGGAAGGTCTGAACATGCATTTATATATTTCCTGTAACTCAGAACCCCATTGCTACTTGGTCCCGAGGGACTATAAGCAGCAGAAATTACATGTGTGTAAATTTTTACTGCTAAACACAGTATTTGGTCCTAAAAATATAAAAACTATGAGAGAAAAATTATACCTTTCATAAGAAAAGGCATCCTGCTGTTCAATCATCTCTGAAAACTTAAAAAACTGCTTATACTGCCAGTGGACCTGTCAGTTAACAGTGAAAAAACCCAACCCCTACAATAAGCAGTTTTGTCCCACTCGGGGAGCATCTGATTTGGACACCTCTCGATTCGCAGAAGGACAAATTACAGAAGTTAGTCTTAAATCTTGGCAAAACACCAGTCATCATAATTTTGTGTCAAGTTTGCAATGCAGTGTTCTCCTTTCCTGCAAAGTGTAAGCACACAGAGTAGACAAAGCACACCAATACTATACCAGGCAAAAAAGAGTAAAAGTTGAAAACTAACAGGCGCTGGCTGAGGTTGGGCCAAGACGGTGTGGTTTCCAGCCGAAGCCAAAATGGTGTCTGCTCTTACCTGGCCACCTGCAAAAATGATAGGTGCAGAGGCAGGTTTGGGACGGTAGGGGATGGTGGCACCTTTGGGTGGGGACTGCAGACAAAAACACAAAGCAATCAAAATGCAGAATGAAGCAGAGCTCTTATTAAAATATCACTCCTTAACCTGATCACCTCAGATAAAGAGGCATACAGCTAACCCAGCCCACCCCACCCTGCCCTCCCCGCCACCAGCACAAAAGCAAGCCGAGGCTTGTTGTCTGGGCTTCGAGGGGGAAGAGCTGAGTTCCCAACTGTACAGCAAAACCAGGCAGTGCTGCAACTCGTGGCTTCATTACCGCCACTGTCAGATGAAGCTATGAAGCTTCATTAAGCATGTCAAAGCATTTCAGGAAACACGGGCACAATTTTGAAATCTGTCAATGTTTTGCAAGAATCCAGCCTGTGCTCTCGTTTACGCTAACACCGAACACAACTCTGGCTTATTGGTCTCTCTTACACTGCTACACACCAAGGTTTCTTCTGTTACCAACTCAATTAAGTCAGATGTTCAGTTGCAAATGACCAGCCTGATTCTGCCTTTCACCTGACAGAGCTGGAAGGTTGGAGAAAATTCCTCCCAGTTTCAGCAAGAGCATAACCACAGCCTTCCTAACACTCAGAAAGGGAGTTTGTTCCCTGTAGCCCAAGGCAAGGACCCAAAGGGAAACCCCCTGATGGAGGTTAACCTTCTCCTGGTGAATAAAGCATAAACACCTGTCTGTTACAAGGGCTTCAGGCTGTCTGTGTAACACGTAGCAGAACAGTGCCCTGATTTCAGTGCATTAGTTGCAACTAAAGAAGGTAGCAACAATACCACTTCCATTAATTAACATCATATAACTTGTTATTTCATGTCAACAAAAGTGTGTGTTGCCAAATTAAATATATGCTGAAAATTAGAGCACATTCATTCTCCTAAACATCTGAAGCAGCAAGCTGTACTTAAGCCAATGTCTTCGTAGTGCTGCTTGCTATCTGCCTAATGCTAAAAATTAAGTATCTCTTATGTCACTCCTAATTATTTAAAAAGTGGCTCTACCTGTGGGAAAATAGGACTGTGTCTGTCTGATTTTGAGAAATGGCTTCTCTCATCTTCCTTAGCAAGTAACTACCTATTCAGTGAATGCCATTTGGAGAACAGACTACACTCTGTATTCATAAAGCTGATAACTATTGCCATCATGTAGTCCATCTCTAACAAACTAAAATTATTTTTTTAACAGTAACTTTTTGTTCTCTTGCGTTTTTATATAGAATTTCCTTGCTCACAGTAGCCCAACAAAAACTGAAGCAAGAGTCACGTTTCCCCAGTGAAATACAAAAAATATAAATTCCCCTTGTGAAATACAAGGGGAATTAGTTTCTATGCTTTTACTTGCATTATGATTTATGCCATTTTGACGTCAAGGCTGTATGTCAGTTCGATGCAGTGCATACTTCTGAACAGCCAATAGGTGCAGTGCTGTCTCAAATACTCCATTGGTTTTCCCCTCTTTAAAGAATAACAGGACAGTAGGGTGGTCAGAGATCATAATGACATAGCCCTTGACTAGACTTAGGTGAAAAGCCAAACCAAAAAAAACCCGTAAAATTTTCCAGCAGAAGATATTATAAAAGCTTCAGATGTTTCATGTTCCATGTCAAAAATTATGGTTACTAAGTCAAAATGTTTCACTTCGATTTGCTATTTTTTTTTTTCCAAACTTCTATTCAACTTACCAGTTGAGAAATGTACTTGCATGAAATTATGGGAATTTTCAGCAAGAGTTAAGATTTCCAGATTTTTGTATAAAATAATTTTGTATCATTTAATCTAAGAGCTAAAAAATTGCTGGCAAAATGAAACATTCTGGTTTTATGCCATGACCTGACCCTAAAGAAGCAAAAAGTCCTGGTAAGTCTAAGTTAAGCTGGTCAGAATTATTTCTATTTAAAACAAGATCTAGATGTTTTCTGCTCTATTCTGCATCAGAATAAAATGCTTTTTTCTCAGAACAGGCTGCAGCTCCAGTGCTGGACCTGGTTTGTTGTTTGACACTGTCATGACAGCCCTGGTCTTTGACTGTTAATCCCTGCTGCGAGAGGCTCTCAAACACCGAGCAGGGCACAGTCTAAGAGAGTCCTCAGGAAATCCCTGGCACGGGAAGGACCCCTGGGGAACACGGTACACTCGATAACTAATAAGACAAGCACTCACTTACCTCCAGCATAACCACGCATATTTGTTTCACGCACTGGATAATGGCGTCAGGGGTGCCCGATATAGTCACTGCACGCTCCGTCGAGTTTGGCAGCATGTCCCCCGCTACCTGCACCTGGGCTCCTGTGGACTTGAGCGGAGACAAAGCAAAGAGAACATCACCGTTGGGACTCGCAAAAGCTGGTGGTTTATTGACATGATGGAGAGGATGCACCTCTCAACTGTCATCTTTTCTTTGCTAGATAGGTGGCAGAGCGCGTCTGTAACCTCATGCCCAGAGCAGGTAACGCTGGGGTCTGGCAGGACATGGGTTTGCCTGCTCAAGGCAGTTTACAAACACCCCCACATCCTAGAAAGCGTAGTCCTCGACAGTGGCTAACAAATTGTGACCTGAATTTCAGGGCAAGGCTTTTAACCCCCTCACAGACAGTTGCAATGCTGAATAAAATATGAAAAAGGTGAAATAAAGTATTTTTCAATAATAAAAAATATTAAAGGAAAAAATGCTGAGAACTGAAGAAGGTTTGCTAATGAAATGAGTTGCAGATAAATGGCTCTTGAATTCACTGATGGCTGACATGTCTCTGGATGAAATCTGGGGCTACCTTATGCTCTGGAATATCTCAGGATGGTACAGAAGCACTTCTAAATTATAATTAGCGTTGATTAAATACATGCAGATAATCAACTTTTAGCTCATTAATGATCCCAAGAAGGCAATAAGCCAGTTTTGGGTTTTTTTAAAAAAAAATTTAAAATTTGATCTTGGCACTCATGTATCTTAGCTAGCAAAAACACCCTCAAAAATCCAAAGAAAGAAAAAAAATACATGAGGCCAAAACAATCCCTGGCATTATTTCACAAACATCCTGAAAGACCTTTTCAGTTTAAAGAATAAACCCCAGTAATTTCACACTGAGTTAGCACTTTCACATATTTCAAACAAAGTCTATCCCTGATTCTTGTTGCAATGCAATATTTTGGGCTTTTTAAAAGAAGCATTTTCAGTAACCATTGACTGTGTGTCAGTCAGCAAGGAGTTAATTTGCTTTCCTGCTGGTTACATACGACACGTTATTATTCTTTCCAAAGCCTGATTAAATTACCAATAGCATCTTCTGCTCACTAGTGCTGTTTAAGGCCAGAATATCAATTCCTTGCTCTATAACAGGCTTTGGAATTTCACCATAATTTGATCAATCTGTCATGCCTCTTTTTTTATTTTGCAATCTTATCTTGAAAATAAGCAACCCTACATGTTGTTCCTGGGTACATGACTGAACACAAAATACCATCCCTCATGCAATTGCCGCTCAGTGTGTTGTGTGACGATGAAATTAGACCACATCTTACGCTGAATGTTCCCTTTTTTTTCCTGCGTGATCATATTTGCTGTTTAACATATGGTTCTGGGTATCTGTACCTCTAGCACAAAATATTCTACCAAATACTGCAGTCATTTATGCGTTTGCTTCTCGTGATAGTCTTGTTTAGTTTTTGACTTTGGTCATACGTCAGCAACAGAAAGAGTAACGTTTTGCCCATTACTCTTATGCTTAAGGAAACATGTAGTGTGAATTCTCACTACATCAGCCTTATCAAAAGGCCTATTTGGCCAAACACCATCCTCTTACTTCCTTGTACTAGACTATTAGCTAATTGCTTCTGAAACTATGCTCATTGGAATAATCACCTAAGTCATTTGATTTACACAGACGAGCAGACCAATCTCACCTTCAAAAGCTTATGTCCTAAAAGCACCCACTTAGTGCTGTGGATGAGGTTATCAATATTTAAAATAAAATCTGAAATATTGCCACCTGTAAAACTTAGAGCTACGTACTCACCAGCACACTCATGCCTGGCTCCTGTTTTAACACAACTAAGAAACGAGCTTGATTGCTGCTGCCTGACAGTTCTTCTGGACCCCTACGAGATCTGGAGGGCCACGAGAAATCACATCTTGTGGCTGAGGTCACCTCCACCACATGCTCTGACAGCAGCTCTGCCTTCTCCAGCGTCAAGGCTTTAGCCTGGCTTCACTGCTACCTGCCAGGGCTCGGCAAGCTTTCGGACTCACCCAGACACGAACTGCTGCCAACCCCAACAGCTCAGTGGCTGTGCAGCCTCAGCCACAAACGTCCCGTGCATGAGGCAAACTGAACACCTTCCTCCTTCCATGACATGCGCTGCAGTGCACTAGTATCTCCTCCCATCTATACACAGTTCTCTGACAAAGCTGTTTTGGTGATTAAAGACAAGACAACAAAGGGTTTCCTATAACCCTAACATCTAAACAGAAATACTCTTTTCTTTCCCTCAGTGTCATCAAGTGATTCCTTTCTCCCACATCTCAAAAGTTAGTTTGACAATAAGACTACTGAGAGGCATAACTCCCAGACTCCTTAATGAAAAATAAAGCAATTAAAAAAAAAAAATCTGATTTGTAATTGCCTTTTATTTGCAGGTCCCAGAGTAAGCAGAGACCCCTCCAAATGGCAGGGTTCTGAACTGTTTTTCTGCAAGTTCTCAGCAGACAACTGATGCGTGTTCTCACGAACACAGTTTACAAAGCAAGAGGCACACGGAGGAACAACACGCTGCTTGCTTGGCAACAAAAACTCTGAAATGGCTTTTGGCAGCTCTGGCAGCTAATGGAATTGGTAAACACTGCTTTTCCTTCCCTGTATGCAAAGGAGAGAAAGAAGTCCCTTTCAGTAGCAGCCAAATCCTGAAAGGTAAGGTAAGCCTTCAGATGAGACTTTGTCAAATGAAACTCCTGGGACAATCAAAAGGGAATCAAAATAATTTGGAAGAACTTGAAAGTCAATGGGATGAGACCCCTAACTGTTCTCTATATCACCTTTCTTTCCATGGCTACCATAAACTAAACATTTCATAGCAAATGCCAGACATATAATTGTGATAAAAACATTTTCCACTCCTTCTTGGTATTTGATCAAATTTTCTTTGATAGAAAGCACCTGTTAGGGGTTTTTTCACATGTGAAATGAAACTTATAAGCTCAGTAAAACCTATCTTGAATCTACATTTTAGATAAAAAAGGAAGTTTCAATTTGGTAGGGCCTGTCAAAAGTTTTCTTTTTACATAGTCAAATAAAAATATGGATCAGCATATTACAGTGATACTCCACCCCTCATCCTATATTGCAATGAATACAAACGTAGAAGGAATACCGTCACTTTCTCCTGAATAAAGGTCAATTTTTCGGAAATGTGCTATTCAGATTTTCTCTACATGTACTTCGCATGTATCTAATTTTCTTGTTTGGCTGATTAAAAACGTTGGATCCTTGGCTTGGCATGTGCTATGTTGCTGTAGTCATGGATGGGAGAATTAAAACTGGCACTGTATGATTTTTTTTGCATCTTCTGATCAGAGGAAAAAGTGACTGCTAGCACAGAACACTAAATGGCTCTCTTTAGAGAAAGTCTGGATTTTCAAAAAAATCAATATGGGTTTGGCATACATGAAACAGGTCACCTGTGGCAGAGTGAGATTAAGGAGAAACAGAAAAGGAGTGTGATCATATTTTTTTTCTAAAAATTAGATCAAGCATTTGATCTGCTAACCTGGACTCCTCACTGCTACTTGGGCCTTTCTCTAGCTGCAAGGGTGGTAACTCATTTGGAGATGGCTGCAATGCTCCACTGACTTGGAATCACCTGAATATTGCTGGGAAGGGCACTGAACCCAAAGAGAAACTGGACAAGCCTTTTCAGTCACTAAACTGTTGCTTTGCTAAATCATGCATCAAATACTAACATGTTGTAAAGCTGTTTCTTTATTTCACCCACGGTCTTTTGCTCCAAGGAAGGTACAAGGGCACAGCTGTGTGGAATCTCTGCTTCCCTTTTAGAATAGAATAGAATTGTTTGGGTTGGAAGGGACCTTAAAGACCATCTCGTTCCAACCCCCCTGCCATGGGCAGGGACACCTTCCACTAGACCAGGTTGCTCAAAGCCTCATCCAGCCTGGCCTTGAACACTTCCAGGGATGTCTTTTCCATGCTTTTCGCTCAGCAGATGCTCATGTTTGTGTGATTAGAAAAGTGCAGTGGACTGTGTTGGCATGGCACACTTCCACAGGATACAGAGCTAGCCAGTGTCCCCAGCAGACATCCCAAGACTTACCTCCCTGATTTCTTTGATTTTGGAACCTCCTTTTCCTATAAGGGATCCACACTGACTTGCCGGGACGACGAGCCGCAGCGTTACAGGCGGTTTGCTTGTCACCGTGCTGTTTGTCATTGAAGCATTTATGTCCTGTAATCACAACGTCAGGAAGGATTAGTGGAGGATTTGTCATTCCTGGTAAGCACTGAGAGGTTCAGAGCAAATGCCCGAGCTGTTTGTGGAGACCCGGAGAGCACGCAACCAGCGCCCGAGCTGTTGGAGACCCGGAGAGCACGCAACCAGTCCTGGTTTGTTTCTTTTGCAGGTAAAGCCGTAAGCAGGAGCGACACAAGCAGCTTGGGCTAGATCTACACTTTTGCTGCCTGGCATCGCAGGCCCATGCTGCGGGACCAGGGGACAGTCTCTGAGACAAAACTAGAAGGGAAGGTGGTATCTATCATCCGACTAGCCGAAGGAGAAGGCAAAGAGGCTTTTGAGTTCACAGGCCCCTAAAGCCTAATTTGGTCTCTTTTCCACCATCTCAGAACGCTTCTACTAACCAATATGTTTTTATGTTTCACGCACTTTCTTGTCAGATTTGATACAAAAAAGAGGGCTAAAAAAAAGGGAATGACCAAAAAAAAAAATCTGAATAATCTGAAGCAGAAAAAAATCAGATTATTTTGATAAATATTTTGCTTCACTCCCCTGGTTTAATTTCTTCTTTGTAGCAGATCCGTAAGTATTCGTGGTGTTACATAATCCCTAAAATCTTTTCCATCACAGTTATGTAACCAGCATACAAAAAGCTCAGTAGAACAGCAATTACCAGTGCCCAGGTAATGTAACCTGTATCCATGTATCTCATTACCCAATGAGACTAGACTGCGTGTTTGCATGAGCATTTCAATATACTACTTCTGCAAGGTTTACACTGTTTCAAATACATTTTGTTTAATCAAAATCTTCTAGGCAAGACAAAGCAATCCCTCTAAAGTCTTATCTTCCCACTGATCAATGGAGATGCTGCTGAGAGCGCTTAGGATGACAAAAAAAAGCCACAAGCTGCATGGCACCTGTCCAACAACTCATCAGAATCTCAGTGCAGTTTGCTAACACTAGCTGCAAGCTGAAGAGACCTCCATCTATCTGTGAGGTGACACGGCACAGCTATTACACCCTTCACAGAAATGCTACCTGAAAGATTAGGACAAGAACAACAGAAAACATGCATTTCATATCCATTTAACCCATGTAAAATGCAACAAGAGTTCCAGCAGACAGAATTGATGTGTTTCCCCACATACTCAGTTATAAAGCCTACTAGTTTTAAAAAAAAAAAGCGCCTACACTGTGTGATCAGGACACCAAATTAAATAATAAAAAAAGAACTTTAAACAACTCTGCACGCCTCGCGGAACCAGTGAAGGAGCTCAGTGACAGCAGCACTGATTCCTCCAGTACCCCTTTATTTGCGATGGCAGCATTCTTCCATCCAAGAATTGGCTCAGTGTGACCTTGCTTAGCTTAAAAAAGCAGGAAAAAAAACCAAAAATCTTGAACGGAATGAGGCATTGCTGCATGCCACAAGACAGCTATCAAACCATTCCTCTGCCAGTCAGTAACTCACATTTTGTTTAGTGCCCTTGTCAGTGAGAGATTGCAATCCAAAATAAAGTGAGAGGGATAACAGGATTTTGCAGCACCCACGTAGCTGAATTAAAGTGCAAGTCATGCCAATTTTTCAGCTGGCAGATGCCATCTTACTAGATCACATTTGTGTCAGGTGACAGCACACTATCATCCAGGTGTAGGTAAATAACCCTCTTCAGCCACCCAGCACCACCCTGATAATGTCTCCCATTCCCATCTCATATCTGGCCCGGCCTCAAAGCCTTCACTGCACTTACTGCCCTTCCAAAGCACTTTGCAAAAAATGGGAAGCCAATTTTTTTTATTTGCTCCTCATCATTTAAAAACAGCAAAACCTAAGCACACAGGCTTAGCAGTATGGAGTGCATTAAAGGAGCTAGTCCAGCTTCAAAAAAAAAAAAAAAACCCCAAGAAGAGAGAAATGAGCAAAAACCACTTCTACCCCCCCATGCCCCCCCCGCAGGCTCCCAAGTGGGGCTGGCTGGAGAATTTCCCACAGAAGACTCACCTTTCAAACTAGGAGATTCCTATTTCTCTAACCTCTTAACTTCCTGTGGCACTGGATCCATTTCCTGGTGGCTCAGGCAGCCACGAGATCCAGACCTCGCATGGTTTTCTGCCTGCTTGCCTGGACTGCTCCTCAGCCAGGCCGGGCTAACTCGAAGCCTGGAATCGGTGGGAGAGCCAGCTCCCAGTGTTGAAGCCTCACAGCATCCCTAGCTCCTGGCATCCCAGAGTCACAGTGCCTAAGGCTTCCCAAGACAAGCAAACCTGGCAGCTCAGAAATCTACCAAAACTCTGGAGAAAAATGTATCAAAATTCTTTTTTACTGTTTTCTAAATGAAATGTTAAACCTGCCAATTTTCACAGCAAGTACAATGAATCTGTGAGGTGGCTCCTCGCTTGGCAATGACCACCACTACTTAGTCATAGTAGCAGGAGTCAGTATTTGTCAAAAAGGCATCATCTCAATTGCTTTTATCACCTTGCCTTTCTCTCCTCCTTATTCCTAGAGCTAAGCAATTTCTTCATATATGTTTGCAAACAAACAAGGATTTCACCAAACCTTTTCTTATTCATATGGAGAAGGTCTGACCACTGCCTGCTGTTTTTTCCAGCACTTAATTACCATATGCTTCCAGTGGACTGTGCATATTTATACCAAAAATCAGAGCTGCCCCACTTGCCAGTGAACTTACAGCTGCATTGATTTGGTCGCAGCCTCCAGTCTGGAAACCACTGCTCTACAGTATCTTCTCTGCAACTCCAGTGGTCTGCCCGGGTTAATGCCATCTTTTAACAAGTCTCTTTTGCCTCTGCAGTGAATACTTTGGTTGTTTATATCATTACCTACCTAGCTTGCAAATTCATCATCAGGCTGCTAGAAAAATCAACTTTTATTAGGAAGGTTGTCAAAACAGAGTGATAGAAGGCTACAGAGCAACCGCACAGAGCACGCACCTCCAGATTTCCCCCCCTCCCCCATCTGACACATTTTGAGATTTTTGCTAACATCAGAAAAGCATTCCAGGGTTCCCATGTCTTCCTACACCTGCTTATCCCCCAGCTATACAGCTGTAGGGTTGAAATTAAGGGTTCAAGGCCTTCATATGAAACAAATACTAAGAAGTCCCTCAAACCATCAGTCTCATGCGAGCATCTTTTTTGTTCTGTTTGAAGGCAGCAGTGACAGCCAGACCTGAGCCAGGTACTGTCTGCTCTGGGATTTTTTGGTTCTTTAAATGGCCAAAGAAATCTCCAAGAAAAAGATATGCATGAAAAATAACATTTGGTAGCTAGTTAATTTGTAATTTCTGAAACACTACTTATTTTGCCTCCGAAGTGTTATGGTTATCTTATTTTGTTGACAGGAATAATTATTGAAAAACTTACTGATTACGAGAGACATTTTTCTTTGCAACTGTTCTTTCAAATGTATCAGAAGACAGTTATATTAAAATGAAATACAGATATTTCAGAATACAACCACAGAACCTTTCCTGCAAGGTGTGCCAATGCCTCTTTGCTAATACGCACACAAAGAGTCCAGACTGCTCTCTGAAATCTACAAGGGTAAATATTCATAAAATCCAGTCAGATCCCTGAATTTCAAATTGGTTTTGCCTATTGCTAGCTACAGCACTTTCTAAGACAACCTGGTGTTGGGTGTTGGGCTGGGGATCCGATGCTGTGCGGTGTTTGATATTTTTATAAGAAATGCAGTGTTATTTCCACCAGGTACTTGTTTTGGTGGGAACTGGCAGGGATTCTCTGTTAGTGATTCCCTCAGCATTTTTCAGGATAAGGCCCTATAAGCAGAGCATGTTTTTCATGTAGAGAGCAGAGAGACTGCTCTCTACACGTCTCCGTGGATTGGAGGATATGGTACTGTACACAAAGCTGCCTCTTCAACTAGAAGAAACAGGAATTGGTACAAGATGAGCTATGAAGGAGATGACAACAGGTGGATTTAAAATTAGGCTGGACAGGATTACTTGTGTGGTTCTGCAGGATTCAACCTCAATCTCATTATCATCTCATTAATAACTGGTAAGGAAAAAAATAATCAGTGTGCTTATTGAATACACCATGCCACAAAATGAGGGTACTTTATTAACATGTTGAAAGATTGGAATATCACAAAGGTAGGCCTGAAACCCCATGAAGGACTGGAAAATATATATGGGATTGCCATTTGCAGTATATAAAGAAGGGTCATTTTTCTGGGGGCTGACAGGAATGTCTGCCGAGACCAAAGAGGTTTCCAGTGAAAACACCTGAGCGGGAAGCTGGGGATACTCGCCAGGCACAAAGTGGTTGTGTGCAAAGCATTACACTAGCAGGAAGTGAGGAATTTCCAGCAGCCATAGGGATATGTTAGCGTGAGAGCCAGGACAGAGGATTGTTAGCACCATTAAACAGGCCATTTGCAACCTGTCCACAATTAACAAGTATATTTAACACAAACTGTAACCTGGAAAAGGTAGAAAGGGACTACTAGAGTCACAAGAGGGGCGGAGAATGTGTCCTCTGAAAGACTGAGCTTGGCTCACTTACTCTGGGCAAAAGTAAGACTGTGAGGGGATAAAAACGGTTTCTAAAAATACGTCTAAGAGGGAAATCCTCAGGGATGGACAGGCAAGAATTATTTAAACTTAATGGCCAGCGCTGGCACAGGAACAAAGCTTTATAAACTGCTCATGAATAAATTTAGGTGAGGAGCAAAAAGGTGTCTGTCAGAGAACAGAGGTTGCGGATCCAATATCAGGAAAAAGCACGAAAAAATCTAACTAGTTTTTGATCACAGTGTGAAGTAGGTTATAAGACATTCTGCTTCTGCTAGAAGCCAAACACATCTGATTACCCACAAGCTCTCTTCTAGACCTGTCACTCAAAACGTGAACAATCACCACGGATAAAGACACATGCTGATGCTACCCAGCAATGCCAGCATCTCCAAGCGTTATGGGCAGGTGTGGAGATGAACCTCACTGACCTGGAGAAGTAAGTACTCATAAGAAAGGGATTAAAATCCCTTTAATTTACTTATACCGATGGAGAGAGAAAGTCCCTTTCTCCTACTGCAGGTGATTCAGTCCACCTATCTGCAGGCTCTTCCTTTAGCAGAAGGTAAATTGCCTTCTGCAGGGGCCTCTTGTCTCTCCACAGAGGACAGGAGAGATGCCTGGACTGGATGTCTGATTTTCAAAAGTTGAGGGAGTTAAATCCTCTCCTGAGTGACCAGAGTTCATGTTCTGTAGCCTGCTGACTTTTCTGTGAGCTTTCCCGTTGAAGTGGTGACCACATCTAATCACAGCTGGTCCATGAAACTTGAATAGATCCCAGCACTTTAGGTATGTATCTGCACAGAACTGTAATTGTACAAAAAAACTGAGTGCTCTCTTGCCTCACTTCCACTTAGTGCCTTTATTTTAATTAATTTTAAAAGCCAAGGTTTAAATATGGTAACTAGTAATCAGATAGTTTGTTTTTAAAATAAAAATTTTCTAGTTGAATAACTTATATATTCATTTTGACATATATAAAATTTACATCAATACCAAATGGAATAATATAAAAACAGAGCTAAAAGTTAGGCAATTATTGTCTTCAAATCAAACCCACAATGGGACCAGAAATTTTTCAAGACATTTTTCCTACCATTAGTGCACATTACTAGAAACAATTGCTTTTCCCTGAAGCCTCCAAAAAAGCAAAAGAAATGATCAAACAGCTTGTAAATTGACCCATTATTTTCTTCAGCGTTACTGCCAAAAGCACTTATAAAAATACAACCACTTTCATTGCTATTAAATAGAACATTAAACAAATCATATTTAACATTAAAGCAAACAGGAGAAAATTCAAACAGTGTTTGTATTTCAACTTGAAGAGAGGAAAAAAAACCCATATTTGCTTACCTCTTCAAATTTTAGTGCAATCATAGAAAAAGCTTTAAAAATTGCATCTGTTGGGCCTGTTATTGTCACAATTCTCTCTGGACAGGAGCCTTCCGAAATATTGATTCGAGCAGCACTCTGTCAAAAAGAACAAATATTTTTCAAATTTATATCTCCCAGGGAGCAAACTAAGTAGGATTAGGGAAATAGTTTGGAAAGGAATATCTTGAGGCATCTAATATGCTTCCCTACAACTGCAGCCCCAACATCATATAATTTCAGCATAAACAGAGCACACTCCAAAAATCTACCTAACTGTGGGAAGCCGGATTCTGTCTGGCAAAATACTGACACAACTTTCATTGCAGTATGCAAATAGTGCCTCTGTAGCTCAAAGTTGTAAATAATTGCATAATCAAGCCTCTTCCCTTCTCTCTTGCAGGGTTAACCTTAAGTAGGACTGGAGCTGGAGAATTTCAGACAAGATGGATGTCTCCAGGGAACACCAATATCTCCCAGGAAAGATGCATCTCTCTGGTTTGGAGATCCAAAGGCAGGGCTCTATCTGTCTCGCTGGGGCACTGCTTTGCATTGTGGAGAAGGCTCCATATAGATGTGTCTTATGTGAATGCAGTCAATTAATACACACTGAACAACACTTTAAAGGACAGGCAACAGTTAACGGTGTTATCTCCTTAAGGAAGGAGCCTCTTGGAAGGAGTTAGAAAACTTAGTCTTGGAGACATGCAAGCACGGCTCTCAAGCATACTTAGTCCCTTTTATGTCACTGGCAGTGCAGAGAAAAACCCAAACTAGATGTAAATATACTTCTCAAGGATCTGGGCCTGCAGCAAATGTGAGATAATTTGGGTTAATTTGGCCCTTTGCCTTCAGGGTTACCATGTGTTTGGTGTCTGAGCCAATGTGTTTGGTGTCTGAGCCCTTATTCACATGCCTACTGCTCCTCAACAGCACGATATCCTATTTCCCTGTATGACAGCAACCAAATACAATGGGAAAAAACTCCACACCACCACTGATAGGAAAATCTTGCTGCCATGGGCTCAGCTGGCAGACATACTCAGCATTCATAGGTAAGAAAGGGCAGCAGGCCCTTCTGTCAGGCCAACCTGAGTGGGACTTGCCCTCAACAAACACCAGCATCAGATCAGGATAGAGATCAGGGCCTGGGGCACGTTCATGCTGGTGGCAATGTCTGGCTGCTGCCATCACATGTGAACCCGGGGCTGTGAGACTCACCCTGGCAGGGAGCATGCCAGGAGCTGTGCTGGGCAGAGTTGCTGGCAGCAGGCCGGGCTGCCTGTCCCACAGCCGCCTTCGCCCAAACCACGGCTCCTCCTTTGAAACCGGAGCCACAGGAGGTTGTCTGAAAGATCTTTCAGACAGATGACTGGTCAAAGCAGAGCTATGGCAGTTAAAATGTTATGTGGTGGCCTCCAATATCTGTGTAGGAAGTTAACAACCGTGGAGCACAGAACTGAAGTTTTTGTACTTTTCTTTAGGCCCGAAGTTGTCTCTGACACTTCCCTAATGACAGAGCAAGACAGAGTTTTATTTTGTTCCATAAAGGCGGCACACAACTTGCCACATCTGTCAGGAAAGTCAAAATAAAGTTGCATTTTGCTTTTAAAGAAGTACTGAGGAAGGAAGTGATTTAAAGGAGGACCGAGTTATCATGTGGAGTCATAGCCTCTTAGTCATGTGCTGATATAAAGATGCATAGAATTCCTTGCTTCCAAAAACCAACCAAAGCCTCTTGCAACCACGTGTAGATGACAGTAGGTTCTCAGAAGTGGAGAAAGACCATGTGATATTTATCTCACAGAACTAACCAGGGATTGTAACTCTTCTCTAAGATGTGGAACTCCAAAGTCAGGACCACTCTCCAATGATGGCTTCCCTTTTGTGCGTGCAATTTATATCCAAAGATATCTGCAGTGACCATAATTAACAATGAAACTACAATGTGTTTTAATCAACTGGCAGGATTACTCAGTATATTGGAAACTTTTTTAAAACTTGTTTTAATTTCTTCCTTTTGTTTTGGTTTTGGTTTTTTTTTTTTGTCTTAGCCAAATATACATATGTATGAAAACATGGGTGAAAGTTCTTATCAAAAAAGGAGCTCTGAGCTCAGCCAGCCTCACAACAAACTCCCTACTGTGTATATTTAAACACATATCTCAGCAATTTAATACAAATACTTGGAGATTTCCCTGCCACAGATCTTCTATCACAGTATAAAACAACAAAGCAGTTGACACAGTAATGTACTGCAGATTTACCAGAACCAAACCGACTTTTATTGAGGCATCCTCTATACACTTTGCACTGCTAAAATTTTAAACAGTAGAATTTGTCTTTCGACTTATGCTTTTAGCACTTGCTTCAAAGAAGGAAAATTACATGGATCTCCAGGTAAGATGTGCTGCCTTGCAGGACACGTGTGGGTCTGTAACCTTCACCTGGGCACAAACCCAGTGCAGCCTGCTCTGCAGCAGGGAGAGAAGCCCATGGACGCTGGGGAGAGAGGGAGGTTTACGCAGCGCCATTTTTCAGTTAGCCTTTTTATGTTTACAACCTTTCCAAAGGATGTGAATGGCGGGTGCGCAGGTCCACCCTGTCCACATCCCACTCACAGCTGCAAAACAATGAAAAGATAAGGCTTTGCCAAGACATGGCAGAGGGATACTTTGGTTTACGCAAGTGTGGCTCCAGCTCTGCTGAAGCTTGTGTCTACCCTCAAACGTTACGCAGCATCAGTCTAACGCTTGGTTTCAGATTTCGGAAGCTCTCTACCAGGAGGCCAAGCCATGTGCAGGACCGATGTCGGTATGCTAAAGAAAGATACGGTGGTTTTGATGCTGGCTAAGCTGTTCTTGAGCTAAGACAGCAGCAGGCATATTGCTATGGGAATGAAAGGCTCCAGATTGCTGTGGCGATAAGGAGGTTACATGAACAACGATGTGTAATTTTAGGCCGGCACATTTATACACCGCTACTTGCAAAGAATGGTGGTGTTAAATTAACTGCCCACTTGATGGCAGTGTCGCTCTGTACACGCTAAATTTCCCTGTTCTGTGAGCTGGGAAAAAAGGCAAGTAAAGACGTCAAGGTTTGTCTTACCTCCTCCCTCATCTTCTTAACTGTCTCACCTTTCTGTTAAAGAAACAGAAAAAAAAAGTTAGCCTGGGCTGATGAAAAGAACTGATATACAATATTTTGACATGAAAATAAAGAGAGAAAGTAATTTCCTGACCTTTCCGATAATGCTTCCAACCTCCTGAAACAGAAAAAAAAAAGTGTGAATGATACAGTTTGCTATGGAAGCGCATTTGCTCTGCTCCTAAGCTATTTCACTATTGGTTATTTCAAACCTGCAATGTGAAGCAGAGCCCCCTTCCCTTGCTGCTGTATACAAATATGCTACGTTAGATACAAAGGGGTGGACTAAAAATGCAGCTTTAGAGGTTACTGATTGTGCAAGAAAAACATCTTTAACAGAAACTGATCTTGCGGTTACAAATCAATCCTGCTACTATAAACACAGATAAACCCTTATCAGGGAAAGTTCAAAAATAATAGAACAGCACAACCCACTAGAGAAAATGAGATATAATACAAGCATCAAAATAACTGCTAATCTCTCTGAGGGCAGGCATTTAACCCCTTTTACACCATGTAATAGCTAGAGCTGACTTTCCATGCTACTGAGTGTTATTGCGTAAACACCTGGTGGCCTGTCTTAATCTCCCTATTAAGCACTTACAGAACAATAATTGCTAATCACTTTTTAGCGATTTGGGAATTGCTACTGGGCTCCCACAATCTTCCACGAAGGGACAGAAAATATCGAGAAAAGTCACTGTTAACACCGAACAGGGGAATGATTCGGCAGTTCTGGCAAGAACTCAAGGGTTAAAAACTTGGGTGTTTATAACAAACAGGTAGCAAAACCAAAGCTAATAACTAAAATGAATAGTCTCGACATGTTACCCAAATCACACAGGTGTGACATCAGACTGAAAACATATGATGGAGACCAGCTAAAAGAAAACAAACTCCCTTCCCATACTCAGACTGTGGAACAGTTAAAGACTGTCCCACATGGCTGACCTGCCCCAGACATACGGCACAGTTTGTTCACTCCAGTCCATATACCCAAGTCTGACCCACCCTGAAACACAGTTCCAGGAGTAAGATTTAAGAAATTGTCCTCCATTGCTCTATCCAATGATGGACTCACGATGAAGTGGTACTAACTTCACCCTGCAGTAGTCACCTGCTATTTCTCACCATAAGGATATTTATAAGCTCGTAACATGAAGCTGCTGGTGGCTCCTCACCCCCTGCTCACAAGACGTAAAGACTTCTCAGTGAGATGACGACCTGTCTCAGTGAAGAACTTTGGCAGAATGGGCTGCCCAGGTTGAGCCAGCATCCTTGGAGATATTTGAGAGACGTGTGGACGAGGTGCTGAAGGACATGGTTTAGTGGTGGTACTAGCAGTAACAAGTTAACGTTGGACTTGATCTTAAAGGTCTTTTCCAACCTAAACATTCCATGGTTCTATATGGTTTCTTTGCGCTCTCTGCAAGTCTGCTGGTAACACCAGACTGAGGGGAACAGTCAATACATTGCAGGACAAAGCTGCTATTTGCAGTCTCATAGACTGGAGAAACGGGCTGAGAGAAACCTCAGGGAGTACAACAAAGTCAAACAAACAGTCCCATATGTTCGAATGGAACAAACCCTTGTGGTAGGACAAGCAGGGCAAAAACTTGCTACACGCAAACTGGCTTTGCAGAGGAAGTCTTGAGGGTCCCAGAGCACAACTGGGTGAGTACATGAGCGTACATGCGGTGCATCCCCGATCAACCAAACGCTAGGCTGTATTAGCAAGGGTGTAGCCAGCAGGCTGGGCATATGGTTCTTGCTTTCTCCTTGTGTTTGTGAGACCATGCCTGGAGGATTGTGCCCTTTTGGGGGCTGCTAGTAAAAGACAGACAAGGACACCACTGAAGTGAATCCAGTGCGGGGCCAACAAATTGGTCAAGGGACCGGAGCACAGGGCACATTAGAAGAGGCTGAGAGAAACGTGTTTCCTTAGCAAGAGAAGACTTGGGGGGATCTTGCTGTGATCTACAATAAGGAAAGAAAGTTGCAACATCATATCATATTCCTACTCAATATGAGGAATAAATATTTTTACCATGGGAATGGCTGGACATTGGAACAGGCACCCAGAGAAGCTGTGGAGTCTTCATCCTTGAAGGTGTCCAAAGTGAGCCTGGGCAAGGCTTCAGGCAACCTGCTCCAACAGGATCTGCTCGATTCAGGATGACAGACTGCAGACCTCTCGGGGTTCCTTCCAACCTTCATGGATCTGTAATTCTTCAAGCACAGTCTTATACCCACTGAAGCCAGTGCCTAATTAGCCACAAAGTTACTCAACCAAATCTGGCCCCTTCTCAGGTTTCTTTTCTAACCTCTCTTTTTTTTTTTTTTTTGATTTGGTTTTGTTTCCAATTTTCCATTTTTATTTCCCTTCCTACTTCTCTTCCAACATGGGATTCTGCTCTCATGTACATGCTGACCAGAGAACAGATACTGTCCAGACAAGCACTGCAAATCTTCTGGAGGTATCTACTTCGCAAACCTACAGTTCTGCTGGCTGATGTACAGCAGACCTTTACACATCACGCAGCTGCATGACTGTTCTTGCTAAAGCCTCTTGTGTCCACCAGGGACTGTGAAATGCCTGTACATCAGCACAGACAAAAAACTGGCTCTGTGAGAAGAGGCACGAATGAAGTGGACTCACTGCAGTCCTGTGTCTTGTGACCAGATTATCCCACGGCTCTTCATATGTGGGTGTAGGTCCCGACTATTCCAGTGGTTGGGACAGCAGTACCAGCGTGCTGTGTAAGATCTCCACTGAGGTGCAGATTCTGTTAGCAGTGACACAAATCCAGGACATCCATTCCAGAAAATTTTTAAAATCTTACTTTTTTTATATTATCACTGTAATGCTCCCAACCTGCCTGTAAGTTTGAATGGAATTAGAGGATAGAGGGAGTAAGCCTCCCAGTGGTGATTAGCCTCAGGAACCACTCATGTCCAGTAGTTCCAATCTGCCCTCGCAGTACATTTAGCAGCTTTACCTTTAAAACTTTTCCCATTCTTTTCAGTCCCAGCTTTTAGCAATAATGCATTTCAGAAATGACTTTCTTAGGAGGCAGAAGGACCTTTTGCAATGGGTGAACATATTGTATTTCAATTGCTATGGGCAAGCAATCACATTTTGGCCCGTGGTATAATTTCAGTTTTTGTATATCTGAAGTTTCATTAGAAGCTACAGGACTGATCTTGACCCTGCAAGGCTCTGCCAGTAAGCGCTTAGTATGAAATCTGTCCCAATCCATTTGACCATCCTCGGTCTTAATGACAGATGCTGTTCTTTCAGAAATGTATGGATGGGCCATCGACAGTAAGTACAAAGATATCTTCCTTGGAAATACTTTCATTTTGGAAACAGAAAAGCAATATACTCTTTGTAGGACTATTAAAAAGAAAGGGACCATTTCAAAAATGGAAATTGGGAATATTTAAACAAGAAGAGTAGAGCATAAAATATGAGGATTCTCAAGCTGCTTGTTTCACTGAAGTTGGCAAGAGTTTGGCTGTTAATTTCAGGGGGACAGGAGTTCTACCTCACTGATTTCACCTTGTCGTCACCAAAGAGTACAAGCTGCTGGAGAACTAAGCAAACGAACAGTGTGAATCCCACTAAGTAAAAAACATTTCTATGAGATTGGTCATCAATTCCTATGAACATGCTAGCAAATGCCACTGTAATGCTACAGAGCACTTCAAGCCTTCCCCTCCTTAAAAGAGAGAATTTAAAACTTACTCTACAAGGCATCAGTTTCAAAACATCCAAGCAAACACCACCTCTCCCCTGAACTGGGATTCTGCTCGGAGATGGGAGGGAAGGGTGCTGGGGAAGAGGAAAACATTAACTTCACATGGATATTCCTCATTTTCTAGAACTTTTGATCCATACAAATTACTCTCTAAAAAAAGACAAAATCTACAACTGTTCTAAACAGGTCATTTTAGTCTTTCTTTTGGGATTTAGCTGTTTCTAGGAAAGCCCCCTAAGTACTGACAACAACAGGTCACGTCTTTAAGTAGAATGAGAAACCTTCTTCTTCCACAGATTAAATAAGATTCTTTACATCTCATTCTCCAAACTACCAATGCTATTTCTTCAAACCTTTAATGCTTCTTCCCAGAGTCAAATATTTGTCTCATACAGGTTCCTATGTCAGCCTAGATTATGTTTAGTGTTTAATGAGATATCTAACATATTTTTTATGATTTCCAAGTTATCTCAATATTTCTAGCCAGGGTTAGTTCGAGGGTTTGATCTTCTTCAGAAAATGTTTCTACATCTGCCAGACACCAATCCGTGCTGCAGTTGACTGCGTAAAACTGAAGGGACGGGATGTCTGTCACCTACAACAGTTCATTAGAAGTTCAGAGTCGACTATAAGACAGACACATAGCTTCCTCTGCAGTCCAGGGAAAAGTCAAAGGAAGATGTTTTGTTCCTAAAAGAGTAAGGAAGAAGTGTACTCCTGAGGGTTTTGTCTTTCTACATCTGCAGCAGAAGAGCCCTAGACCTACACTAACATGCCTGAAGTTTGGTGAGAGGAATTTTACAGTCGATGTCAAATTCAGCCTCAGCGCAGGTCAGAGAGGAGTCTGATTTAGCTGTCCTAGCAAATAATTGCCTACTAGACTACACGAGTAACTCTTGAACTATTTGCCATTTTCCAGTGCTCAGGAATATAAGCTAAAGGTAAGTATTTATGATGAATTTCAGACTGATATACTGACTAACCATCTACAGGTAAACAGGGTGGGAAAATAAGTGATATGATAACAATTAGTGGGTGTCATATAATCACATTTCAACAGCTGATCAAAATGCAGTGCAGCACAAAAGAAGGAAAAGTTATAAATGGGGCAACAAAAGCTCAGAAGGGAGAAAGACAGATCCAAGGCAACCTGGCAGAATGATGCCAGAGCTGAAAGTACTACCCAAGCTCCTTGGCCTCAGCACAGAAACACCTGAAGCAGATACGCCACAGCAACCGTGCTGGGTGAACAGAATGCCCCCAAAAAGCTGCAAGTGTGCGCGTGTCTCCATCCACCAATACATGTGCGCACATACACGTTTATATATTTGTGTGCGAAGTCAATACGTACACACAG